AAGGGTGTGAGAAGGGACAAACAACCAGGATTTTTCCTTCTAAGGGTTCTAAAATCCCACCTGAGAGGCGCCAGCAGGAAGGACAAGGACACCCCAGGGCCGGGGCTGGAGCAGCAGTACCATTATAAACCATTACTCAAGGCCAGAGTCATCACCAGCTCCCACAAACAGCCATGTCCCTTCATGGAGCGGTCTGGGAGCTCTGGGATTAACTCCGACGCCGGGCAGTGACCGCAGCCCCCCGGCATGGGCAGGAGCGGCAGCTCCCGGTGCCAGCCGGGCCCTGGCAGCTCCCGGGGCATTGAGTTACAGCTCTATTTTGTGCCCTGGCTCCGGCCGTGTAACCCAACCCCTGCCCTGAATCCCGTTCTCTCTGTTCCCCAACTCCCTGCCGGGGGGGGTCCTGGTACCCCCCGACCCCCCGCGACCCCCGCAGCTCCTCAGCGCGGGGTTTGCCCGGCACGGAGGTTTCCCGTCCCGCAGAGCCCCCGCCCCCGCCGCCGCTAACACGGGGATTTGGGTGCGAGCAGCGCCCACCGAAACGCGCGGGGCCTCCCGCGGTGCCCCACGTGCTGCCCACGCCGGCCCCGGGAACAGCCCGGGCCGCGCTGGGAGCCCCCACGCTGAGCCCCAGAGCAGCGGCACGCTCAGGGCGAGGGGCAGAAGGGCCCTGGGGGTGACCCCGCGCTGCCCCGGGTGCCGTGCGAGGGTCCCCGCGCTGCCCCGTTCTGTGGCGGCACAGGGAACGCGCCGCCCCCCCCCGCCCCGCTCGCACCACGCGGGGCCGCGCCGCGACCCCCGCGCCCCGCCGAACGGAGATGGGAATGCACAGCAAGGAGCAGCCGGGGGCGGGCGAGCGGCCCGGGAGCCGCCCCGGGGCTGAGGCGGGGGGTGAAGGAGCCGCGAGGAGCGAGGCGGGGGCGGCCCAGGCCCCCCACGCCGAGCGAGGCCGCGGCCCCTTTAAGAGGCCTAGCCCGGTCCCGGGCCCGCCGCGCCTCCGGCTGCGCCCCGCCGCCCTCTACGGCGGCCCCGCGCCGTCCGCCCGCGCCCCCCCTCCGCCGTGCCGGGCGCTGCCGGGCGGCCCCGCGGCCGCGCTCACCCCGCTGTCGGCCGCCTCCTCCCAGCTCTCCGCGACCTCCTCATCTTCCATTTTAATTCCCGTCCGCCGCCGGGCCCGCGCCCCGCGCATGCGCGCGCCGCCCCTCCGCCCGCGCCCGGCAGCGCACGCGCCCCGCGCCCAAAGGGCGGGAACGGCCGGTTGGGGGGTCAGGGGGCTCTCCTCGACGGCGACCCCTGGCGGGCGGGAGGACCGAGCGCAGGGCGGGGCGGCCCCCTTTAATTTTGGGGGGTTTGCTTTAATTTTTGAGTGTTTCCTCTTAACTTCGGGGTGTTTTCCCCTCATTTTTGTGCGTTTCCCTTTAACTTTGGTGTATTTTCTGTTGATCTGGGATTTTCCCCCCCTTGATTTTGGGGTGTTTTCCTTAATTTTGGTATACTTTCCCTTAATGTTGAGGTGCTTTCTCTAATTTTGAGGTGTTTTCCCTTAATTTTGGGACGCCTTCCCTTTTTGACGTCTTTTCCCATGATTTTGGGGTCTCTGCCTTAATTTTGTGACGTTTTCCCCTATTTTGAGGTGCTCTCCCTTACTCTTGAGGTGTTTGTCCCTTAATTTCTGGGGGTTTCCCTTAATTTTAGTGTGCTTTCTACCAATTTTTATGTGTTTTCTCTTGATTTTGGTGTTCTTTCCCTTACTTTTGGGTCGTTTTCCCTTAATTTTGAGGTCTTTCCCCTTAGCTTTGGAGTGTTTGCCCTTGTTTTGGTGTGTTTTGATTTTGAGGTGTTTCAGCTTAACTTTGAGGGGCTTTACCTTAATTCTGAGGTGTTTTCCCATCATTTTGGCACATTCTCCCCTAATTTTGAGGTGCTTCCCCCCGATTTTGGCGTGTTCTCTCATAAATTTAGGGTGTTTTCCCATAATTTTGGGTTCCTGGTCAAATCAGCCCCTACATTTAGGGAATTTTGGCCACCAATCCAACCTCTCCTCCCTCCTGTGTTCATCCATCTCCAATTTGTGTCTCTCCATCCAAGCCCTCAGCTGCTCTAACGGAGCACGAGGACCACCCCAAACCTTTAAAAACATCAAAATTCCCCCAAATAACCCTTATTTATTCCATTTCTCTCATTTACCCCCAAGATATTCCCCACGCTGATGGATTATTTTGACCTCTGAGCCACACAAAGGCGTCTGGGGTGGGATTTGCATTTCATTTTCCCCTTCAGCATCCTAAAAATCCTCCTTTCCACCCAGGAAATCACAGGAACTGCCCTTAAATCCCTAATTTTCCCCCCGAAGAGCCTCGTCTGCCGGCAGATGGCGACTGGATTCCTTAAAAACTCCAGTAACCCTCCAGCTCAGACAAACCCTGACGCCAGCCCAGGGCGCTCGAGGAGGTTGAAATCCTTGGATTTCGGCTCTTCGGGCGGCTCAGAGGGCTGGGACACAACGTGTCAGGTGGGACACAACGTCCCCCTGCCCTGGGAGAGGGAGGGAAAGGCGCAGCAGCCTCGGGCTGTTCCTGCCCATCCTCTGGGATTTTTCCAGAGGGAAACAGGCACCGAGTTTTCCAGCAGCCTGGCATTGTCCGCTCCGTGGCATCCAGCGTTCCAGCGGCGTTTTCCCGGGGGTTCCCTTCCATCCTGCTGCGAGGAATCCCATTCCCAGCGCTGCCTGACCGCGGGCATCCTTTGGGATCCTTTGGGATCCTCTGGGAATGTGGCACTCACCTGCTGAGGGGGCAATCCCACGTCTCCCGCCGGGTTATCCCAGCCCTCCCCGGGGCACTTGGGACACGGTCCGTGGGTTATCCCGGGCGTTCCCTCGGGCAGGGAAGGCGCCTGGGATCCCTGTGGGACGCAGCTCTGTGGGAGCTCCCTGTACCCCTTCCTTGAGGAATAACGGCCCCGGCCGGCGGGATTGGAGTCGAAACACGGCGGGTGTTCCCACAGGGAACGGGCCCCGCTCCCTCCCGTCCTCACCTCCATGGCCAGAGCAGCGCCAGGGACCTCCAGGCTCGGGGACAGCTCACATCCCGCCCGCCCGCAGAGCCCTCAGGAGGCTCCAGCGCTGGACAGGGAGTGCCTCCCGGGGCTGGGGGAGGTCAGGAGCCCGGGAAGGTGCGGGAGGAGAGCGGGGCAGGGAGAGGGACAGGGATTCGGACGGGGAGCGGGACAGGGAGCGGGACAGCGAGCAGGACCCGGCCCGGCCCCTCCGCCTCAGCGCCGACCTTCCCAACATGGCGGCACCGCCAGCCCGCCGCTCCCAACATGGCGGCGGGACCCTCCAAACATGGTGACCTCCCCCTTGCGTAGCCTTGACCTTCCCATCATGGCGGCAGCTCCATTCCCTCCCCTCCCTCCTCCCATGGCCCTGGGGGGCGGTCCCGCGCCTGCGCGGTGCGCGGGCGGCGCGGCCGGGGCGGCGGCGGGAGGGCGGGCAGCGAAGATGGCGGCGCCGGCCGGGGCCGTCACCGGGGAGACGTGGCCGCCCCGCCGCCCGCAGCCCTGAGGGCCCGGCCCGGCCCCGCCGGCAGGTGAGAGCGGCCCCGCCGCGCGGCTCCCCACGGGCGCGGCCCTGCCCGGGCGGCGCGACGGGCCCCTGGGGGGATGGGGAGGGGGGAACGGGCCTGGCGCGGAGGGACCCTCATCTGAGGGAGGAGGGTGCGGTGAGACCTTCCCCGCTCTCCCCTCAGGGGTTTTCGGGGGAAAGAGCCCCCGGGGGGTGCAGCCCGATCCCCTGAGAGAAAAGCCCCTTCCCTTCCCTTTGGGGGGCGGCACCGGCGCTCCCTCAGGGCCCCGGAACGAACCGTGTTATGCCCCCAAAAAAGCATGTTTTCTCCCCCTAAAAACCATGTTTCTTCCCCAAAAGCCGTGATTCCCCCCTGAAAGCCGTGTTTCCCTCCCCCCCCAAAAAAAACCATATTTCCCCCTCAACAGCCGCGTTTCTCCCAGAAAAAGGTGTATTTAGCTCTAAAAGCCGGGCTTCCCCTCGAGAAGCTGTTTACCCCTCCCAAAAAGCTATTTGTCCCCCTGAAATCCATGTTTCCCTCCCTAAAAGCCATATTTCTCCCCCTAAAAAAAGCCGTTTTCCCCCCCAAAAAAATCCATGTTCCCCCAAAATCCGTATTTCCCTCCCAAAGCCTTATTTCCCACCAAAAGCCATGTTTTCCCCCTAAAAATCCGTATTTCCCCCCCAAAAAAGCCATATTTCCCCGCTAGAATCCCTTTCCCTCAAAAAGCCGTGTTTCCCCCCTAAAATCCCTGCTTCTCCCAAAAAATCCGTGTTTTCCCCCATAAAAGTCGTGTTTGCCCTCAAAAGTCCGTATTTCCCACCCAAAAATCCGCATTTCCCTCCAAAAAGGCCACGTTTCCCACCCAAAATCCATGTTTCCTGCAAAAAAATCCCCATTTTCCCCCATTCTGCTGTCATTCCCACATAATCCCACGTGGATCCACAGGGATTTGCTGCTGCTGCCCAGTTTGGGTTTTCCAAGGGGGTTTTCCAGTGGGGAAGGGCAGGAGCAGAGCTATTCATGGCCAGAATTCCAGGGAATGCTTGGAGAGGAACGAAAGAGGAGTTGGGATATTCCCTGGGGGTGTGTTCCATGTGTGGAATAACCCCGGGATCACCGGGAATGGCCTTTGTGTTCCAAAGGCTGGGACTCCCTCTGGCTGGAACTCTTCCCCTTGGCTGAAGGACCAGGAATTCCCTGGAATTCCTGGGGTGGAGGTGCTGTTGACCTAAATCCGGGCCTGGGCTGGGAGGAGGCCTTTTCCCACCTTTTCCCTAGGGAAGCTCCAGGTCAGGAATGGTGCTGGAGTGTCCTGACAAAGTGCAGCCACTTCAGGAGACAAATCCTGGAGTGGGATGTTACTCCAGGAGCTGATTCCCTGTTCCCACAGCCCTGGGTGTTCCCACCACGAAGTGTTTGCCCTTCATTTTCAGCAGCTTTCCCTTAATTATGTTTTCCCTTCAATGATTCCCCCCTTAATTTTGGAGTGTTCTACCTTCATTTTGGTGTGTTTTCCTCGATTTTTGGCCTGTTTGCCCTTCAATTTGGTGATTTTCCCCTTAATTTTGAGGTGTTTTCCTTTAATTTTGGGATGTTTTCCCTTAATTTGGGTGTGTTTGCCCTTCATTTTGGTGAGTTTTTGCTTCATTTTGGTGTTTCCCTTCCCTCCTTTTCCTGGATCCCGAATCCCAGTGGTGTTCCCTCAGGTTGGTCTTTCCTTGGTGGGAGAGGAGAGGGCAGTTCCCTGGGCAGAATTCCAGCTGTTCCCTAGAATCCCAGACTGGTTTGGATTGGAAGGAGCAGGGCAGGGACACTTCCCCTATCCCAGGTTGCTCCAAGCCCTGTCCAGCCTGGCTTGGACTCTTTAGGGTGGTCCCGTCTGGCACATGGAGCTGTTCCTGCATGGATTCAATCCCATTCTCCCGGATTTCTGTGTCTCCCTCCCATCCCCTGGTTGTTGTGGCCCAGCAGGGATGTTTGTGTGTGTTTTCCCTGCCGTGTTCCCGGGATTTCCCCTGGCAGGTGACTCCACCCGGGCCCTGTCAGTGGTGGCAGGTGACTCCACCCGGGCCCTGTCAGTGGTGGCAGGTGACTCCACCCGGGCCCTGTCAGTGGTGGCAGGTCAATCTCTTGGCTTGGGGAAGGCTCTGCAATGTTTGCTCCCGTGGGATTTGGGATTTCAATCCCAGTTAGTCCCTGGCATTCTGGTTTTCCCAGCCTTTGGCTGCTGGAGGAGCCCCGGGAGGAGCCTCAGCTGCGGGACACGTGTCCCTGCCCTGCCTGGGCTTGGAATGAAGGTGGGGATGGTTTGTTCCAGCTGTGTTTTCACTTGGGAATTTCAGCCCTTGCCGGCTGCACCTTCCAGAGGGGGATTTGCTCCAAGGATCCCCGGGATGTGTGGATTATCCCAGCCTTGACTCAGGAAATGTGAGGTATCCAGCGCTCCCATTCAGGAGGCTGCAGCTTTGGGGGTGGGAGCAGGGGAACGGGGTGTTGGTGCATTCCCAGCACGCGGCTGATCCCCAAGTTCTGCTTCCAGGGCTTCCCAGAGGTGTTTGGGCACAGCCCCTCGCACAGGATGTGAGCTGGGAAAGGCTTCCCGCTCCCTGTGGAAACAGAGCTGCGCCTCCCAGGG